ATTCGAATTTTGAAGTCGAAGCCCTGTGTTAAGCAGCGCTGTAGAGGCTAGAGGACGCAGCTGTAGAGGCTAGAGGACGCAGGCTGTAGAGACTAGAGGACACAGGCTGTAGAGACTAGAGGACACAGGCTGTAGAGGCTAGAGGACGCAGGCTGTAGAGACTAGAGGACGCAGGCTGTAGAGACTAGAGGACACAGGCTGTAGAGACTAGAGGACACAGGCTGTAGAGACTAGAGGACACAGGCTGTAGAGACTAGAGGACACAGGCTGTAGAGACTAGAGGACACAGGCTGTAGAGACTAGAGGACACAGGCTGTAGAGACTAGAGGACACAGGCTGTAGAGACTAGAGGACACAGGCTGTAGAGACTAGAGGACACAGGCTGTAGAGACTAGAGGACACAGGCTGTAGAGACTAGAGGACACAGGCTGTAGAGACTAGAGGACACAGGCTGTAGAGACTAGAGGACAGGCTGTAGAGACTAGAGGACACAGGCTGTAGAGACTAGAGGACACAGGCTGTAGAGACTAGAGGACACAGGCTGTAGAGACTAGAGGACACAGGCTGTAGAGACTAGAGGACACAGGCTGTAGAGACTAGAGGACACAGGCTGTAGAGACTAGAGGACACAGGCTGTAGAGACTAGAGGACACAGGCTGTAGAGACTAGAGGACACAGGCTGTAGAGACTAGAGGACACAGGCTGTAGAGACTAGAGGACACAGGCTGTAGAGACTAGAGGACACAGGCTGTAGAGACTAGAGGACACAGGCTGTAGAGACTAGAGGACACAGGCTGTAGAGACTAGAGGACACAGGCTGTAGAGACTAGAGGACACAGGCTGTAGAGACTAGAGGACACAGGCTGTAGAGACTAGAGGACACAGGCTGTAGAGACTAGAGGACACAGGCTGTAGAGACTAGAGGACACAGGCTGTAGAGACTAGAGGACACAGGCTGTAGAGACTAGAGGACACAGGCTGTAGAGACTAGAGGACACAGGCTGTAGAGACTAGAGGACACAGGCTGTAGAGACTAGAGGACACAGGCTGTAGAGACTAGAGGACACAGGCTGTAGAGACTAGAGGACACAGGCTGTAGAGACTAGAGGACACAGGCTGTAGAGACTAGAGGACACAGGCTGTAGAGACTAGAGGACACAGGCTGTAGAGACTAGAGGACACAGGCTGTAGAGACTAGAGGACACAGGCTGTAGAGACTAGAGGACGCAGGCTGTAGAGACTAGAGGACACAGGCTGTAGAGACTAGAGGACACAGGCTGTAGAGACTAGAGGACACAGGCTGTAGAGACTAGAGGACACAGGCTGTAGAGACTAGAGGACACAGGCTGTAGAGACTAGAGGACACAGGCTGTAGAGACTAGAGGACACAGGCTGTAGAGACTAGAGGACACAGGCTGTAGAGACTAGAGGACACAGGCTGTAGAGACTAGAGGACACAGGCTGTAGAGACTAGAGGACACAGGCTGTAGAGACTAGAGGACACAGGCTGTAGAGACTAGAGGACACAGGCTGTAGAGACTAGAGGACACAGGCTGTAGAGACTAGAGGACACAGGCTGTAGAGACTAGAGGACACAGGCTGTAGAGACTAGAGGACACAGGCTGTAGAGACTAGAGGACACAGGCTGTAGAGACTAGAGGACACAGGCTGTAGAGACTAGAGGACACAGGCTGTAGAGACTAGAGGACACAGGCTGTAGAGACTAGAGGACACAGGCTGTAGAGACTAGAGGACACAGGCTGTAGAGACTAGAGGACACAGGCTGTAGAGACTAGAGGACACAGGCTGTAGAGACTAGAGGACACAGGCTGTAGAGACTAGAGGACACAGGCTGTAGAGACTAGAGGACACAGGCTGTAGAGACTAGAGGACACAGGCTGTAGAGACTAGAGGACACAGGCTGTAGAGACTAGAGGACACAGGCTGTAGAGACTAGAGGACACAGGCTGTAGAGACTAGAGGACACAGGCTGTAGAGACTAGAGGACACAGGCTGTAGAGACTAGAGGACGCAGGCTGTAGAGACTAGAGGACACAGGCTGTAGAGACTAGAGGACACAGGCTGTAGAGACTAGAGGACACAGGCTGTAGAGACTAGAGGACACAGGCTGTAGAGACTAGAGGACACAGGCTGTAGAGACTAGAGGACACAGGCTGTAGAGACTAGAGGACACAGGCTGTAGAGACTAGAGGACACAGGCTGTAGAGACTAGAGGACACAGGCTGTAGAGACTAGAGGACACAGGCTGTAGAGACTAGAGGACACAGGCTGTAGAGACTAGAGGACACAGGCTGTAGAGACTAGAGGACACAGGCTGTAGAGACTAGAGGACACAGGCTGTAGAGACTAGAGGACACAGGCTGTAGAGACTAGAGGACACAGGCTGTAGAGACTAGAGGACACAGGCTGTAGAGACTAGAGGACACAGGCTGTAGAGACTAGAGGACACAGGCTGTAGAGACTAGAGGACACAGGCTGTAGAGACTAGAGGACACAGGCTGTAGAGACTAGAGGACACAGGCTGTAGAGACTAGAGGACACAGGCTGTAGAGACTAGAGGACACAGGCTGTAGAGACTAGAGGACACAGGCTGTAGAGACTAGAGGACACAGGCTGTAGAGACTAGAGGACACAGGCTGTAGAGACTAGAGGACACAGGCTGTAGAGACTAGAGGACACAGGCTGTAGAGACTAGAGGACACAGGCTGTAGAGACTAGAGGACACAGGCTGTAGAGACTAGAGGACACAGGCTGTAGAGACTAGAGGACACAGGCTGTAGAGACTAGAGGACACAGGCTGTAGAGACTAGAGGACACAGGCTGTAGAGACTAGAGGACACAGGCTGTAGAGACTAGAGGACACAGGCTGTAGAGACTAGAGGACACAGGCTGTAGAGACTAGAGGACACAGGCTGTAGAGACTAGAGGACACAGGCTGTAGAGACTAGAGGACACAGGCTGTAGAGACTAGAGGACACAGGCTGTAGAGACTAGAGGACACAGGCTGTAGAGACTAGAGGACACAGGCTGTAGAGCTAGAGGACACAGGCTGTAGAGACTAGAGGACACAGGCTGTAGAGACTAGAGGACACAGGCTGTAGAGACTAGAGGACACAGGCTGTAGAGACTAGAGGACACAGGCTGTAGAGACTAGAGGACACAGGCTGTAGAGACTAGAGGACACAGGCTGTAGAGACTAGAGGACACAGGCTGTAGAGACTAGAGGACACAGGCTGTAGAGACTAGAGGACACAGGCTGTAGAGACTAGAGGACACAGGCTGTAGAGACTAGAGGACACAGGCTGTAGAGACTAGAGGACACAGGCTGTAGAGACTAGAGGACACAGGCTGTAGAGACTAGAGGACACAGGCTGTAGAGACTAGAGGACACAGGCTGTAGAGACTAGAGGACACAGGCTGTAGAGACTAGAGGACACAGGCTGTAGAGACTAGAGGACACAGGCTGTAGAGACTAGAGGACACAGGCTGTAGAGACTAGAGGACACAGGCTGTAGAGACTAGAGAACACAGGCTGTAGAGACTAGAGGACACAGGCTGTAGAGACTAGAGGACACAGGCTGTAGAGGCTAGAGGACACAGGCTGTAGAGACTAGAGGACACAGGCTGTAGAGACTAGAGGACACAGGCTGTAGAGACTAGAGGACACAGGCTGTAGAGACTAGAGGACACAGGCTGTAGAGACTAGAGGACACAGGCTGTAGAGACTAGAGGACACAGGCTGTAGAGACTAGAGGACACAGGCTGTAGAGACTAGAGGACACAGGCTGTAGAGACTAGAGGACACAGGCTGTAGAGACTAGAGGACACAGGCTGTAGAGACTAGAGGACACAGGCTGTAGAGACTAGAGGACACAGGCTGTAGAGACTAGAGGACACAGGCTGTAGAGACTAGAGGACACAGGCTGTAGAGACTAGAGGACACAGGCTGTAGAGACTAGAGGACACAGGCTGTAGAGACTAGAGGACACAGGCTGTAGAGACTAGAGGACACAGGCTGTAGAGACTAGAGGACACAGGCTGTAGAGACTAGAGGACACAGGCTGTAGAGACTAGAGGACACAGGCTGTAGAGACTAGAGGACACAGGCTGTAGAGACTAGAGGACACAGGCTGTAGAGACTAGAGGACACAGGCTGTAGAGACTAGAGGACACAGGCTGTAGAGACTAGAGGACACAGGCTGTAGAGACTAGAGGACACAGGCTGTAGAGACTAGAGGACACAGGCTGTAGAGACTAGAGGACACAGGCTGTAGAGACTAGAGGACACAGGCTGTAGAGACTAGAGGACACAGGCTGTAGAGACTAGAGGACACAGGCTGTAGAGACTAGAGGACACAGGCTGTAGAGACTAGAGGACACAGGCTGTAGAGACTAGAGGACACAGGCTGTAGAGACTAGAGGACACAGGCTGTAGAGACTAGAGGACACAGGCTGTAGAGACTAGAGGACACAGGCTGTAGAGACTAGAGGACACAGGCTGTAGAGACTAGAGGACACAGGCTGTAGAGGCTAGAGGACACAGGCTGTAGAGACTAGAGGACACAGGCTGTAGAGGCTAGAGGACACAGGCTGTAGAGACTAGAGGACACAGGCTGTAGAGACTAGAGGACACAGGCTGTAGAGACTAGAGGACACAGGCTGTAGAGACTAGAGGACACAGGCTGTAGAGACTAGAGGACACAGGCTGTAGAGACTAGAGGACACAGGCTGTAGAGACTAGAGGACACAGGCTGTAGAGACTAGAGGACACAGGCTGTAGAGACTAGAGGACACAGGCTGTAGAGACTAGAGGACACAGGCTGTAGAGACTAGAGGACACAGGCTGTAGAGACTAGAGGACACAGGCTGTAGAGACTAGAGGACACAGGCTGTAGAGACTAGAGGACACAGGCTGTAGAGACTAGAGGACACAGGCTGTAGAGACTAGAGGACACAGGCTGTAGAGACTAGAGGACACA